TTCCTCCCCAAACGCTGCGGTGCTGCTGCGCCTGGAGCGACACAGGCACCTCCACTTTGCGTTCAAACAAACAAACATATAGAGGCCCGGTAAGGACAGGACGGAGCTCTTTGGACACGCTGGCCTCCCCCGCAGCCCGCGCGTCCCCGCCCCCCACAGGGGTGGCACCGGGTGGCCCAGGGTCGCAGACGCTCCGGGCAGACAGCGGGACAGAAATGACGTCGACCCCGCCCTCCCCGCCTCCAGCTGTCCGGCCCTCATCCCCCCTCCCCCAAAGCCGCCGGATTTTCCCCCCTCCTCTAGGTGAGGGCGGGGAGAGCAGGGTCACCCCGGAAAGGGGGTGGGGGATAACCGCCCGGGAAGGACTCAAAAGTGAAAGTTTCAAAGTCTGCGGTACCCGTGGAGAAAAATGCAGCTTGCCCTGGAGGGAGGGTGCTAGTCTGGGGTTAGGGTGCCGGCTGCAGGGAGGGGCCGTGCCACAGCTGAGCAGGGAAAATGAGGCAGTGGAGTCGAGTCTGTAGTGTACGTTAAAAGTTGTTGCAGAGACAGGGAAGAAGTTTTGGGAGCGTCTTCCGAGGGAAACGCCAGGCGGGCTGCAGCTGCTCCTGACCTAGTTTGCTGCGCACTGGGTGGCGGCTCAGCTGGGGAAGGTGGCGAAGGACGCAGACCTGCAGCACTGCTGTGGCCCCTTCCCCGGCCACACAGGTCACCACACGGCGTGCGCCGGGGTCCGGGCCGGGGGCTGGGGCAGGAGCTGCGAAATAGCTGGCTTGTGCATCGGGAGCTGTGGCCATATCCAAGTGGACTGTCCCGAGTAACTCTGGTCAGGAGCTGGGCAGAAGCTTAAGCAGCTCGCTTTAATGGTGATTTGTAGCTCGGCGAGGGGCGCGGACAGCCAACTCCCCGCAGGTGTGCGCCCTAACACCGCCATCCGGACTTGAATGTAGATGACTCTGCCGATCGTTTGATCAGCCCTTTGAAACCCTTTACAATTGCCTGTGACGAACGGCCAGCCTTAGTTTTTCCCTGAGTAATGCCTTGAGGCTAAGTCCTCTGGGCTTTTAAAGGGCTCCACTATTTTTTTTTTTTTTTTAAGAAAAAGGAAATCATTCGATTTTCGTTTAGCCCTCAACTTTTAGTCGCCAACAGGCGTCACTCAAACGAGTCAAAAACTTAGTGACTGTTACCTTTACCTTCACTGTGTTCCCCAAAGCCATCTGTGGGTGTTAATAACTTTGTCCTCCTTTTTAACAAGGCGCCTTAGCTATGTATATAGCCATGTATATAGCTCTATTGCATGCATTGTATTAATGGAGAGAACAATGTCATTAATTTCGTTTTCTTTAGTCTCCAACTGCACCGCCTGTTTATAGATATTTGTGTGGGTGTTTAGTATAAACAGGTATTATTATTATTATTAATACTATTGTTGAGCTCATCTTAATACCAGCTCTGTTGTCCCTAAATTACATCTTTTCCGTGAGAGTTTAACTTAAACATTAAAGTTTTCTCCTGTCAAACCCAGGAGTTTACGCCTCCAACTCCAGCATCAAAATAAAGAAGCTGATACTGCTCAACCTGGAATATTGACTCAGGGTATTTACATAAGGGGAAGAAAATGAACTTTTGTCTGAAACGTACAACAAGTGACACTTTGATTTCATAAAATAAATGGCAACAATGGCAAGAGTTTATCAAACTAGGAAGGAGGTGTGAGGGTGGGAACACCCAGGCATGAAAGGCCCGTTCCTGCCGCTTCAGACTACAAAGGGTTACACAGAAATAAGGGCCGAATTTGCCTATTGCAAAAGTTTTCTCTGTGCTTTCTAAATCACACCAGGGGAGGGGGGAGCCTGCGATTGTTATCCGGCTCTGGGCAGGAGCAGGCCCCTGTACCGAGGGGCTCTTAGCTTGGGCCAGCCGAAGAGCGGGGGCCTTTCAACAGCAGCCCCCTTTGTTCTCCTGATCTCTTTCCCAATTTCAAGCTTCACTTGCACATCCCAAGTTTGTGTGTTAATGACGCTATTACCATCTGGCTTGCCCTACTTTCCAAAAGATATAAATCTCCCAGCTCCTTTGCCCGCATTAGCATTTAAGTGCCACCATAGCCAGAAGAAAAAGATGCTTTCAGGGCTCCAGATTCTCTTGCAATGAGTACCCCTAGCCTGGCTCTTCCACTGTATACAGAGTATACAGTGAGGGCAGGAGCACCCCCTCCTCCCAGAGGCCCGATTCCCCAAGACCTGTCCCTCCGAGCCAAGCAAGTCGAGTGCGAGAAAGGCTTCAAATGAATTTCCCCTGAAAACATTTTTGTTTTCTTTGCAGTGGGCAGAGTATTTGCACCAACATACTTCTGCGAGTCTCTGCCTCCCTCTGTGGTTTGGATTTGTAAAAGTGTCTGTGCACGTCCCAGACTCTGAAGATGTCCTGCCTCACAGCCGTTTTCAGCGGGAGAATGGACTTGGCTTTCTTTGGGGCTGAGGGCAGGGGTGAAGGGAGATAAAAAGACCTCTGTGAAACAACTTTGGGGAGCTGGGCATCTCTTGGAAACTCTCACTTTTAACGGTGCCTGCATAGGCGTCCTGTGATTTACACACTTCTTGCTGGAGATGGAGGTCCACCTTTCTCATTCGATTCTTTCTTATGGAAAGTCATTAGTGATTTGCGTGTTTTGAGCACAAAAGCTGAGAAAAAATACAACAAAAGAAGTGGGGCTGGCTTGTGCATGGCTCCACAATGGCTGCATTTATGTGGCCAGGTCCCAGTGAATAGAGCGGAGCAGAGTCTGTCTCTCAGCGCGTGGGCTGTTGGTCAGGCCCCTCGCTGGCTTAAGCAGCTCATTCCCCTGGAAGGCGCCTGAACTGTGTGTGCTTCTGGACCATGGCTTCTAGGCGCATCTTTCTTCTAGAGACTCACTCCCTTCTCCCCACTGTTATCTTTCTGGAAGTGGGTTTAGTTGAGATCAGCCAACCCAACAGGTTGAAAGAATTAGAAGTGTAAACTTCCCCGCTGCCTAAGACACTTTCCAAATCAGCAGTTGTTTGGGCAGCCCCCTACCTTAGAAAGCCTTGTTGGACAGAGAAAGCTTGTATAAGGAAAAGTAAATTCTTACTGAGGAATAAAAGAGAACTTGTTATATATCCCTACTGCTTTGTTAACTGAGCGCGGGCAGGACTTAAAACGACGATCGGTTGCCATCACACGGTTGTAGCTGTTTGCACGCAGAAGCCCCCGTTTCTCTTTCTGGTTCACTTTCCCGCTTTTCTCCTCCAAACTTAAGAGCCATCTCGTTGAGAAATGTGTCCCTAGCCCTACTTTTTCCTCTCGAGAACATTATCGAGTTGATATGAACAAATTGCAGGGGATACACCATTTAAGTAAGATGCACTTTTAATCACTGATCATTAAAATGGTTATGTTATACTCAATTACATGCATGAGTTAGCTCTAACAGTGCTTCCCATTGTCCCAGCTGCTCACGTATTTCTTCATGATAGTCTGAGGCAGAAACTTGATTATGGCGAATCCATACATTTCGGTGGATTTCATCAGCCTAATTAATGCCTCCGTGTGGTCCTGGGGTCTGAATGGACCTTTTGCTGTCATTTGGGGTTAAAGGCAGTGTTGGAATGTAGGCTGTTTTTTTTTTTTTTCCATGCTGGTTACTCACAGGGGACTGGGTCCCATGAAGCAAGGTGGACAGCGGTCATTAAAGGCAAAGATTGTGAAACCAGAAGGCCTTTCCAAGTGGCTGGGAAGGAGACTCGTTCTCTGTCCTTACTTCCACATCAGGATTTGGAATGCCGCAGCAGTCTGCAGATATTCAATCAAGTGGAAATGACCACCCCACAACGACATCTTAAAACTGCACTGAAAGGGGACGTGGAAGATGCATTCACAATCAATGTTTAGCTTTTTTGTCCTAATCAAAAGTGGCCCTGCTCCCTCCCTTCTTCCTGCTCCCATCACTTTTAGACTTTCATCTTTAGGAGGAAGCACTCTGGCCCTCCTGGATGAGGAACTCAGGTCCACCCCCCAAGTGGCTGGCTGCATTCTGCCTTTTCAGGTGTAAATTAGCATCTGAATACACCTCCACCTCCCTGACCCGGACCACCACCCCTGCCTCCAAGGAGTGGCCGTTGATCTGCACCTCCAACCACAGGCCCCGAAGGCTGAGGTCCAGCTCCCAACTTCCTTTCTCCCCTGACCAGGGCTTGCTGCATCTGTGAGATGAGCCCTGATACCGGTCCTTGTCCACTGAGACCTGAGGAAGAACATGCTCTACAACATCCTTTCTTGGTGGTCAAGCAAAAAAAAGCTACAAAAGAGAAAGAACTTGATCCTTTAAGAAATGTCCTGCTGAACTTGGGGACACATGCCTTGCTTCAAGTACTTCAGAAGCTGAGGCAGGAAGATTGCTATGAGTTGGAGGCCAGCCTGGGCTACGTACTAAGACCCCATCTCATACCACTTCTCTCCAAAAAAAAAAAAAAAAAAAAAGAAAGAAAGAAAGAAAAGAAAAGAAAGGAAAGAAATGTTGTAACTTGAGCAAGTGAGATTTGAATGTTTCCCTTCATTCTGAGGGTTCTCCCCCACCCACCAGAAGTCTCTTATTGTAGAGGATCCGCTCACCCCATCTCCGTTGAGGCAGAGTAGAGAGTCAGAACTGACCCTGATCTGATGGAGCGGAAGGATTTCCAATCTATAACCACATCACCACTTTGAAACTTTGTGCTTGTTATGCTAATGAGATGACTTCTGTAGTAGGGGTATGTTTCAGCTTCTGAAATTAGCTTTTTATAGTGCCTTGTGTAATGACAGACATTACAGAAGAGAAAAATGTACCAGCATTGGTGGCACAATACTCCTGGCAAACATTCTGGGCCATTTAAACAGATGAATGGAGACTCAGCTATGTTTGTAAAATGAAGCTTTCTGCAATCTCAGGGAGCAGACAAGGCAGATGCTGGCGGCCAGAACCTTCCAGGGTTAAGGTGCGCTGGCACCCCCTCCCCGGCTCTCCTCTCTGATTGATCGGGACAGGATTCAGTCATTTCCCATAATTGTAAACAAGGCGCATTCACACACTGATCAAATATCCCAGAAGAGGACTTCTTTCATCAGTTATCTGTCTTCGATGGACATGAGAGCTCAATCACTGCCAGCCCGGTCATTGTGTGCCCGGCCCTTCCCTCCCCTCCCACCTCCACAAAGCACAGTTGCTTCTGCATGCAGCAAGCGCCTTGATTCCTAGATGGGCTCGGGTCTCTTCTGCATGATATAGGTTCCAAATGTCAACCTGCAGCTATAGAGAAGCCTGTGAACTATGCTAATGACTAAACTCTCTTGCGTTAACAGTCCTGCATGAGGCTACAGCAAACTCTCCAAGAAACAGCCTGAGTGGGTTGGCAGTTTCTGAGCTCTCAAGCAATAAGGCTGACTTGAAATGTTGGTGTTTTATAACTGCCCAAGGTGTCCCATTTTCTTTCAGGGGTAAATAAGAGCAAAATACCTGGCTTGGTACAGTGGCTCACTAATGCCAGTTGAACCAACCAAAAGTGGTGCCTCTTCATTTAGACCAGAGAGCTTAGTGGAGAGCAGCTCTGACAGCCTTAGTTTAAGACGGGACAAATTTCCTGCATCCACAACTTCAAAGTTATAAGCTTCACCCAGCTCACTACTATCTGATTCCTCCTCATGCATTTTTCTTTACATCTTTGGGTCCAGGAAGGCACAAAATAACTATACTATTCAATACACAAACTTTGTAGCATAGCAAATCTATGAATCAGAGGCTATTTTCTTTGGTATGTAAATGATTTGTTGTATGCCAAGGTCATGCACTGCTTCCCGAAGTTCTGCTGAGAAAAATCAACATTTTTGTTGCTGTTGTTATGTTTTCTTTTTTGCTTTTTGTACTGAGACAGCATCTCATTAGGTGGTTCAGGCTGGTCTCATGCTCACTGTGTAGCCCAAGATCACAGAAATCCTCCTGCCTCAGCCTCTCAAGTCTGGAATTACAGGTCTATGCTACAATGCGCTGTTTAAAAATTAACATCTTTGAGCCAGGTGTGGTGGCTCATGCTGTAATCCCAGCACTCAGGAGGCTGAGGCAGGAGGATTGTTGTGAGTTCGAGACCAGCCTGGGCTACAAAGTGAGCTCAAGGCCAGCCTGAACTGCATAGAGAGACTCTGACTCAAAAAGACAAAAAAAAAAAAAAAAAAAAAATCTTTATCATTTATAACATCATGTAATCTATTCAGTGGGGTGATTTCAATTCCAGAGTAGGTCCATCTAATAATATCTTTTTTTTTTTAACTGAGGACTGAATCCTAAGCAGTCACACTGAGCAACATCCTCAGCTTTTTTTTTATTTATTTTTTTTATTTTTGGTGCCAGGGATCGAACTCATGACTATATGCTTGCAAGGCAGGTGCTTACACCACTGAGCTAAATACCGGGCTTTATTTTTTTATTTTGAGCCAGAGTCTTGCTAAGTAGCCAAGGTGGACTCAGATTTGCAACCCTCCTGCCTCAGCCTCCCTCAGTAGCACTTTGTAAAATGCAATCTATAGAGTCAGTTATTGAGCTGAGTGGGGAGCAGTACACCTGGGGGTAAAAGTGGAGCCAGGGCAGACCGCATGGGGGGTCCATCTCCTTGCCCTGAGTGAGGCCACAGCAGTGACAAGAGACAGTGACTTGGAGCAGAGATCCGACCGCTTGCTGTGGCTCCGCGGCTTTGTGTTATTTATGATCCGGCGCATTCGGTTATTTTGGAGCTGAAGGATTTATAGACTGATGTTGATGGAGATGAGCTAGAGCCTCTGAGGACAGGCTTTGAAATCCTTGGGTGTTTCATTTCAAATTTCAACTCCGAAATCTAAACTCAAATTGCTCACTGGTCTGTGGCAAAGAACACCTCATTTGAAATTCCGTTCTAAACTCCCTGACAGCAGCCAAACTGAGCCGAGTGTAGAAATAGCTCCGACCCTCAGATCCCAGGATGTTAGTGCTTGCACGGCACAGGAACTAAGCAAGAGGACACCTGGTTTCCAACTGGCCCAGAGAAAGCGCACTCTGCCCTGCAGAGACCAGGAGGTGTACAGCCCTCCGCGGCCCTGGTGTCACAGCAGTGGTATTTCTGTGGCCAGGGTTTGCTTAGGATCTGTGACAGCTGAGTTTTTCCTATCGATTATGTGACAGTAGGGCTCATTTCTCTGCTTCAAAGAAATTAGAAAAACCTCCATTTCACGGGGGAAACCTATCAGTTAAGAACTGAGTTGTGCTTAAGTACAGAAATCAAAATTCAAGCCAGGGAAAGTGGAAGAGGAAATTAAATTTTGAACCCAAACTTTTGTAGTTAAATCAGCCTTCTAGACGACTCTGGCTGGTCCTTTAATAGGAAGCCTTGTGGTTGGGAGCTGGTTTGAAAGCCATACAAGAAGTCATATCTTCTGCAGGAACTGTGCGTTTAAATCAGTACACACACCTGCAGTTACATACTTAAGTAATTTAATATGCATTCATGATTCTAATGCACCCCTCAGTAAAAATGATCTTTTTATTTTGATTATTGAGACAGCATCTCACTCTGTAGCTCAGAAGGCCTTGGGCTCACTGAGTAGTCCAAGTTGGCCTCCAACTTCCAGTGACGCTCCTGCCTCAGCCTCCTGAGTACTGGGAATATAAATGTGGACCATGGAATACCATTTTTATCTTATGTCAATTCCTGATAGTTTTCTGTCACAGGGTACAGAGAGGCATATAGATGTATCTAGAAGGCCAACATATTTCAGAGAGCCAGGATTTCAAACAAAAGTGAACCTGGGCCCTGTAACTGTAAATCAGGGTGTGAGGTTCAGGAACCGCATGCCCTCAAGGGCTCCCTGAGGGGCCAGGCAGGGAGAACTGGAGAGAGGAAGGGCCAGGGCAGGCCAGGCCCTGTGGTCCTGAGTTCGGAGGGATTTGAGGCACGGGAAAGCTGCAGCCTGTGCTGTGTGGCTGCATTTGCTCGTCTGTCCCCTGAAAGCCACTGAACAAGTGGGAGGCACGGGTGGCACGCGTTCAGCATGTGGGAGCTGGCTCCTCCGCCTTTCTGTTCCTCCCTTTCCATCTCATGGCTGTGGGACAGGCCCATCCCTCTGACAGGGCAGCTGGGGCAGCTGGTCCAGGACAGATGCTGTGCCTGGTCCTCCTCCTGACAGTCACTGAGATTCACCGTCAATATCTCTGTCTTTGGAGATGAGCCAAGGGCCTCAGCAGCAGACCTCAGCTGGCCTCTTTGCAGGGGCCATGTTCTGCAGCAGACACAACCCACGGGAGCTGCTCCAGGCCAGGCCCAGCTAGCAGTGGCCCTGGGACATGTGTGGATTGCAGTTCTGTGCCCATGGACAGCTGGGGGGGGGGGCAGGAAGTGGCCTGGCCACCTGCTCTGCCTTTCTTGAGGCGTAGCCAATCTGGGCCCCAGGCAGGCCTGAAGAGAAGCTACTCATGCTCCTTACTCTCCTCTCCGCTCTGCTCAGTGGTCTCAGTTTTGATTCTAAAAAGAAAAATAGCACTTGGGAGGCTGAGACAGGAGGATCGCTGAGTTCCAGGCCAGCAGCTCAGCATTGCAGAGTAATTGTTCTTCAGACCCAACCTCGGAGAATCTTTTTGTTGAGTTTAAAAATTAAAAAAGAGACAAAACTTTTTTTCAGGGTTGGGGATGGAGCCCAGGGCCTTTGCACTGAACTACATCCCCCTGCCTTTTTGTTTGTTTGTTTGCTTGTTTGCTTGTTTTCTTTTTTGGTTTTTTGAACCAGGATCTCTCTATAAAGCCCAGGTTGGCCTTGAAATCTGGCGATCTTCCTGCCTCGGCCTCAAGAATACTGAGGCTACAGGTGTGTGCTACCATACCACACAACCCTTTTAAATACTGCACCCCTTTTTAAATTTAACACGTGACCCTGGGCCCAGTGGCTCACACCTCTAATCCCAGCACTGAGGAAGCCCGAGGCAGGAGGACCAGAGTTCCAGTATCACCTTGGCGACCTAGCTTGACCTGGTCTCCAAAAACAACAAGTCCGTCAAAGAACTGGGGCTGAAGGTTAAGAGCAGAGCCCTCAGGTTCTCCCCTCAGTAATGAAAACACAGAACTGTGACTGACCAAAGATGCCACCTTTCACTAATGCCCACTTCGAGCAGCAGGAAGGACACTGAATTTCTCATCACTGCAGGTGAGACCCAAGGACTGCTGCCCACTGCCCCCTTCTCTTCCTATACCTCACTTTCCAACACCCCACCTCCCCGAGAGGCCGCTGACCGCTCAGTGGACCCACTGGGGTTTTTGTCCTCCTCTTACATCTTTACCCCTACCCATTTCTGCTCTGGGGTCCAAGGCAACTTTCAGAAACTAACAGCAAATATGAACTACAGAGACAGGAAGGGTGACGGTGAGGGCACCAGCAATTCAGGGCTCATTTTTCGTTTTTTTTGAGACAAGGTCTCACTGTGTAGTTCAGGCTGGCCTTGAACTCACTATGTGTGTAGTTAAAATTGGCCTTGAGTTTACAGTGATTGTCCTGTCTCAGCCTCCCCAGAGCTGGGATTACAGGCGTATGCTACCATGCCTAGTTTACTTCAAAGAGTTTTACCATGGATTTGTGGATGGGCCCAGAATGACTATGTGGAGGCTTTGAACGGGTGCACTGGGGTGGATTTTCATATTCTGTACCCCAAAGAATAGGCTAGAAAGGCCTGCAGGGTCTAAGTTCCAGCTGAGGCTTCTAAAATTTGGTTCAAGACAGTTTCTTTCTCTGAGCTTGTCTCTGCCAGGCAAAGTACAGCTGAGGACCAGATATTCCCTCAGGTCCGGCCCAGGGAACAGTCACCTGGGGTTTATGCATTGCTGTCTCCTTCCTTTCCACGAAAGCTGACAGGGACACTGGAGCCAGGTGTGTGGGTCTTCCACGCAGGAAGGGCATCCTTAGTGTGACTGGAGAGACCCGGTGAGGACTCTTGACCTGCTGCTTTGCCTTTGCTTCCCTTTGCAGATCTGATAGACACAGTGTTCCCGGAGGAGGAGGCTGGTGCTCAGCAGATGCCAGCCTGGCTGGCTACACACTGAGACTCCATCGTCCTCGGCTGTGAGAAGCCACCAAGGCTTCATTTCCTGCTCGCTGGCTCTGCTGGAAGGAGCTGCCCGGGAGGACATGGAGCCCCGAGCCATGCAGAGGAGGCTGGAGGTGGCCCTGCCGCTCTGAAGAGGCAGGAGCCGTGCTGGCTAACACAGGGACCACGCCTTAGAGACTGGTGGCTGATGGCAAGGCGAGTCCCTCCGCCTGCCCCCCTGGCTCTCCTCCAGTGGCCTTTCCAGCACAGACAGGAAAGAAATGATTCCTGAGTTGTACTTTTTTATTTTATTTTATTTCATTTTATTGGAGGCAGGGTTTTACTATGTAGCTCAGGGAAGTGATCCTCCTGCCTCAGCTCCCAGAGTGCTGGGATCACAAGCCTGTGCCACCACACCAGGCTCTGGGTTCTATTCTTTAAAATTAATATTAACTAATAAATAGTTTTATGTCCATTCTATCATGGGAAGTCGGTGGCAATTATAAAACAGCAAAAGCAGGTCATAACAAGATTAGGTTAAAACGTCTCTGTGAAATTTCTGCACCCATTATTGGAGGGGCAGTTACTATATTTCGGGGAGTCACCTTTTGTAAAGGTGGGGCTCAGAAACGAAGCAAGGAATGGTATTTAGACCAAAGACATTGTTTTCTTATATATTCATTACTGTTTAAAAATTGTTTATTTTCTGAGTACATAATGTTTAATTCTCTCTGGGGAGTGGGTACGTGCATATAACACATTTTATTTCCTTGTCTCTACTTTTTGTCTTTTGTTTCAAGACAGGGTCTCACTATGCAGTGCAGGCTGGTCCTGAACTCACAGTGATCCACCTGCCTCAGCCTCCTAAGTGCTGGGATTACAGGCATGCACCACCACACCCAACCCTTTTTCTACTTTTTTTCTTTTTTCTACTTTTTAAAATGTAACCAACACTTCCCTCACAGTGCTTCCTTATACCCATGTGTGTGTGTGCATGTATGTGTGTGTATTTGCATGTGTGTACAAGCACGTGTGTGCATGTGTGTATGTGCACAGCTGTGCCGAATGCCCAGTGCCTACATGTGGAATGATGTCCTCTCAAACTTCTGGATTCTGGACATTGTTAGAAGGCAGGACAGTGAAGAGAGGTCCAGAGTAATGACAACAATAGAGGCCAGTGATTTCATTTCCCAGAAGCCCTACCCAGGCACGGTGGCTGTGTTTGCAGCCCTCACACAGGAGGCTGGAGCAGGAGGACTGAGGTAAGTCTGACATCAGCCTGACTGTGTCTCACAAAAAAGAAACAAGGAAACAAAACAAATCCCCTCACTGTGCAGTAGTCTACAGTTTTAGAAAGCATTATTATGATTAAAGAGTATTATGTTCCTAAATTGTGATTCTTACATAGAAACCAATTTAATGAATTCTTTTTTGCTTTTTTTTTTTTGAGATATAATTCAGGCTGGCCTTGAACTCGTTATGTAGCCCAAGCTGGCCTCAAACTCAGGGTTCCTTCTGCCTCAGCCTCTTGAGGGCTGAGATTACAGGACTACACCACTACATGCAGCCTTGAAGAATTTTATATAAAATCTGTCACCAAAAGTCACCTAGTAAAGTTTTCTAGTGTAAATACACTCACTTCATGAAGAATTGTTATTTTATTTTTAAAGTTTTTTTTGAGACAGTGTCTTACTGTAATTCAGGCTCTTCTTGAACTCACTGTGTAGTCCAGGCTAGCCTCAAACTCACAGTGATTCTCCTGCGTCAGGCTCCTGAGTGCTGGGAAAGGAATTAAATTTTAATTTGCAAGCCTTTCTATTGCTGTGGGACATTAGGATAAGACAGCATTTGCTAGTCACATGTAAGACTAACCTATATCTTTTAAAAAAACTTTAACGTTTATTTCTCTAAAATAAAACACATATTGTATTTTTTCTTAGCTTTTATTATAACTACTGTAACTTTATGATGTTTTTAATGTATCGTGTTTTTATTAAGTTATTTGGTGCAAGATAAAATATATAATAGTAAAAGAATCCCTTGCTTTTCTAATTCTATTATGTCAAGTCAAGCAAAATGGACACATCTCAAGAAAAAAATATCTTGAGCATGTTTTTGAATCAAAAATGATTATCAACAGTATTTTTCCCTAATAGACTAGCGCTTATTATGGATCTTATTTCAAAGGTGATTATTCTCAAAGAAAAGGAGAGATATTAGAATTTCCAAATAAGTTACATTGTTTAAAAGTACATTGTTGTATTATTCATATTGTTAGCAACTGGCTAACGCATACGAAAGGAAGAAGGAAAAAAAGATTTAAAAACCCCACAGTAATATCTTCTAAAATATCACATTTTGAGATTTAAAAAGAACTTACAGATTCCATTTTGAGGGCTAATCGTGGAAATTTATACCAATGCCATAAACAATTTAAGTGAACCCCCTACCCTTAAAAAACTTGAACCATGATAGGCATTTCTGCAAGGTAGGTTTTAACATATTTTTTCCTAGTTTTTTCGCCCTCCATTCAGTAAGAAAGATAAGCTTTTCGAGGACCCAGTCGCCGTGGTAACTGCCAAAAAAATCCTCCTGAAGTTTGAAGGGGTCAGCAAGTGGGGTCAGCAGCCCTGCCCTCCCGCGCGCTGCCGGCCTGCGCTGGGGGCGTTGGGCTGATCCGACCCCGGGAGGGGGGACCCTTCCGCCTCTGATATAAATTTTTTGAGTCAGTTCGTGGCCTGGACTCTCCAGGTGGCCTCCAAAATCGATTTTGACCCCCTGACCCTGTCTCGGGGAGGAATAGCATGCACCCTAAGCACAGGCTTAGCCAGGAGTGACAGCTTTCCGCTGAGTGTTATTGGGGACAGGATAAACAGTTTGGAAAGCCGGGAAGGAGGTGTGAGCGCCGGGCATTCTTACAAACACATTAGAAAGCAATTAAGAAATCTCTGCTTAAATTTAAAAAAAAAAAAAATGTGTTTCCTCTACAGCATTCCTATGGGACCCACCGGGTCTTTGGATGGAAACTTGGGTTAGGAGCCACCGGCCACACAGGGATCCCCTTTCAGCTACTTTGTTACAAATAGGCAAATAAGAGAGGCAGATTTGCAACAAAACAGGTATAGCGTGGACATAGTAAAATGTGCAGGGAAAGGAATCGGCTTATTGCAAACACCACACTAGGTAAAGAATTGCTCGTATTTTTCAACCCTAGTTTTGTGTGTGTGTGTGTTGCATTTAAAATGTAAATTAAGGAACTTCGATTCCCTGGCTAAAAGAAAGAGTGGAGGAAAAGATGAACTCGTTTCACTCAGAGTCCTTTGCTAATTTGTACAACAAACATCACCACTTCATTTGGATACAATGAGAGAAAACCATAAACATGGACAGTGGCCTCAGCGCTGACCCAAGAGTTAAATAAGTAAGCATCTCTGAAGAATTTCTGGTGCTTTCATCAGTTTTAAGGTATCAAAAGCTTGGGAAATGAAACTATGATATAAACATTCTCAGTGATCCTTTTTCTCTCTTTTTTCCAGGAGGCCCAACAAGTTTGATTTTCCCCAGGAGAGCTGAGCTGTCTGGGGTTCCTCCTAGGAATCTGGGGTCTGATTGTTTCTCCCCTGAAACTCTCAGCACCCCTCCTCGCAGCTCTGATGAGCAACCAGCAGTGGCAAAACCATCCTCCGAATCCTTTTGCAAATCCGATGTTTAATTGGGGCACATTTCCGGTCAGAGGGGGGCCAGAGGACGGGAGGGGACCTAGCAGCTGAGCCCCACATAGGCACTTTGTGTCTCTGTCCTGGCTTCTCACTCCGTTAAATCCCTATTATCAAACTTATCTTCCCAAAGCCTATTATAGTATTCCCAGAACAGATTGGGCCATGAATAACTGACTTGGAAGTGTAGAGTGTTTTCTACTCAAGGAAAGTTAGAGCTGACAACAGCTTAACGGCAAGAAGAGGGATTCATCTCGCACTGATGGATTTCAAGGTTTCACTCTTGATGAAGGGCACCTTGGAGGGTCCCCACTCCAGATGCACGTCTGTGCTGTCTTTAAGGATTGGCCCAGTGATTGCACAGCGCTGGTCCTGCGTGGCCCTAATTGTCGGTGAATTTCCTCTGTGTCATTGGTCTCTCAGACAGGTGTCTGTGTTACTTCCTGTGGATTAAATCTGTGTTTCCAAAAGGACCCAGATGCTCAGATGTGAACCAGTATGAGAGGAATAGCTTGTGTAAATCATCATTTCCCTGTTAGATATGTTGTAAAAATATTTAATGTCCCACAGTGTACAGACTACTTGATCCATACCTGTGTGAGGTCCCTGAAAAAGTTATCAACCCAGTCTTAGTTGTGGTTGCATACTGTGATCAAGTCACTCGGATTTTATAGCTCCTGCTTCAAGTGATTAACCCACAGAAATAGACTTCTGCTTATTTTTGTGTCCCAATAATTCTAGGACATCAACATTTTATATTAAAGAGCAATGTTTTCGTATCTCATGAATTGATGATTGATGAGTGGCTGGATCAATTGGTTTTGAGACAGGGTCTCACTATGCAGCCTAGGCTGGCCATAAACTCAGGGTGATCTTCCCGCCTCAGCCTCTTGAGTACTGATATTACAGGCATGTGTCTATATCCCCAGTTTATATTACATAGATTTAAAAAGTTAAACAGGGGCTGGGGATTCAGCTCAGTGGCATAAGCACCTGCCTTCCAAGCAGGCAGTCGTGAGTTCAATCCCTGGTACCAGAAAAAAGAAAAAAAAAAAAAATTTAAAGTTAAACAAAGAAAGACAGGTGTTGAGGATGTAGCTCAGTGGCACACAATGTGCTTAGGTCTGAGTTTTAAAAAAAAAAAGAAAAAAGGCAAAGGACATATGATTGGAAAAATTATATTTACATAAAAATAAATTTTATTAATTTTTTTCTCTTGCATATATTTTTAAATGGCCTTTTAGAGATGAAGAACAAATTTTTAGAAGTTGCAGGACAGGGTGACACACACCTATAATGTTAGCATTCCAGGAGGCTGAGGCAGGAGCATCACTGTGAGTTTGAGGCCAGCCTACACTACATGGTGAATTTCTTTTTTTTTTTTTTTTTTTTTTTTTTTTTTTTTTTTTTTTTGCTACTGCGAATTGAACTCAGGGAACTCAGACCTCCTCATGCTTACCAGGCAGGCACTGTACCATGGCAATACCTAGCCCGTCTACATAGTGAGTTTAAGGCCAGCCTGCACTACAGAGCGAGACCCTGTCTTGGGGAGGAAAAAAAAGCAGGACTCCCCAGAAGTCAAATGCAATCCCATATAAATTAATTAAAAAACTATATGGGGATCAAACCCAGAGTCTTTCACTCGCCATCAAGCACTCCAGCACTGTCCCTGAGGTTTTTATAGACACCTATCTTAGGAAGTGTGCATAAACAAAGTTGTATAAGACTACCTTACTTCTCTTGGGTTTTTCTTCCTCATATTAAGAAAAAAGGTTTGCAGAATATTATAGGAATAATAAATAAAAGCTTTAGTTTAATTGAATTAATCTAACCTTTCTAAACATATAAAAATTATCGCATGTGGTAGCATACGTGTCTGGTCCCAGCACTTGGGAGGCTGATGCAGGAGGATTACTATGAGTTTAAGGCCCCCTGAGCTGCATGAGGAGACCCTGTCTTAAGAAAAAAAGAAAAAGAAAGAAAGACAAAAATTAGAAAGGGCTGAGAAGTTTCTGGATCTAGACTCTAGAACTGCCAAACAAACAAACCCAAACCAAAAGCTAACAAAAATGTCTCTTACAACCAAAATCCAATCCTGACATTCGATGTTACAGATTCTGGCAATGTCTTGGTGTTTATATTGTCTGTCTTAACCATCTGAACTACCAAATATTGCTTAGTTTTCAGGTCAGCTTCTCATGTTGAAAAAAGAAAAACATTTTTAAGTATCTAATCTGAAAAAAGAAAAAAGAAAAGAAAAAAAAAAAAGAATCTAATCTGAGACTGAGCAGATATAGCTCAACAGCACAAGAGCCTGAGTTCAATTCCTAGTACAAGAAAAAAGACACCTAATGTGAGCCAGGCATGGGCGTGCATACCTGTGAACCTCACACTGGGGAGGCTGAGGCAGGAACATTGTTTTGAGTTGTGTACATTAAATGCATTTTCAATTTATGGCATTTTCAGTTTAAGAGGAGTCTACTGAGCCACAACATGGTCATAAGGAGCAGAGCACCTGACTACTGGCAGATACACCGTGTAGTTTGGAGTCTTGTTTTATCAGCAAAACCTGGAGTTACACTGCTGTGTCAGACGCTGGTAGTGATGTATTTTTCTTTTTCTTTTGAAGGGAGGTAGTGGTGTTTTTTGTTTTTATTTTGAGACAGGCCTTGCTATGCAGTTCAGGCTGGTCTTGGACGCACAGCGATCCTCCTGCCTCAGCCTCCCCAGTGCTGGGATCACAAACGTGCAAAAATCACACCACATAGGACACGAAACTGTTGCGTGCTCACAGGGCAAGGTGCGATGTGGGACAGGAAAAGCTGTCACAGCTCAGGAGCACAAACATCAGAGCCACAGGAATACAAGATGTGAGCCTCTGCCCAAAGCACAGACTAACTGGCCCCCAGTGCTGAAGGAAACCAGCTCACACCGTTTTCACCACCACACACGCCCACCCAGCACCTCGATCCACGCTCCTGTGTGGCACCCACACCACGCAGACATGGGAAGCTGGATGGGCGGTGCCTGCCCCAGTGCTGCGGGCGGGAGACGCGTCCCCCGTGGCGCAGGAAGGGGGTGTGTGGGATGGGAGTGGGGGTACAGGGCAAGAGGGAGACAGACAGGTAGGGAGATGGTCAGGGAGAGGGCGAGGGGGGACACATAGATGTTGGACCAGATGATAAACAGACAGGAGGGTGGTGCACATCTGTAATCCCAGCGCTCAGGAGGCTGAGGCAGGAGGACTGCCACAAGTGAGTTCAAGGCCAGCCTGGGCTACACACCAAAACTCTACCCCCAAAAAAGTAACAGGGATGTGTCCCAGATTTTTACTCACTGTATTTATCAGTCTTGTTTACTAAGAAGTTCAGAAAAATATGTATCAAGATCGGTGGGATGCAGTATAACAGTGGGACTCTGCACCCCCTCTCCCATCTTGGAACTGGGTTTCAGCTGTGAACCCAATTCTTGGCCAAGGCTACATCGGCTATCCCCAGCTCATCCCCATCCAGGCCGCCTCCCCATGTGTCTGCACCTCGTTAGGTCAAAGCCACCGCAGCCTCCGTGACTGCACCCCAGCCTGGGCCAAGCCCCGGTACACCTGTGTGTCTAGGAGGCCACAGCTCTGCCTGCCGCTGATTGTCACCTCCGATGTGGGCTCCAACAGCCTGGAAGCGTGGGGGAGCAGCCCCCCATTCATGGTGCTGGCAGGGCTGCAGCTCAGCTGGGCCAAACTATATCACCGTTGAAAAAAGGAAAAAGACAAACAAAACAAAACAAAACTATATCACCATTATCCCCAGGCTCTACTACGCTACTGGTACTTTTGTATCTTTTTGGTGTTTTTATGAGACGGGGCCCAGGCCGGCCTCAAACTCATTCTGTAACCCAGGCTGACTTTAAACTCATGGTGATCTGCCTGCCTCAACCTCCCAAGAGCTGGGGTTACAGGCCTGGCCACCCATGAATAATGCTTTCATGGAAGAGATAACTAAGGTACCAGGCAACTGATCCAAAAATACCACCAAGCAACTAAATTTGCCGGATTAAAAGGATGTTTTTCCTCTCCCGATTGGTTTTATTTATTTACTTGTGGTACTAGGGTCCAACACAGGGGCTTTCACACTGCACCACACTCCCACCTTTTCCTGGGAGGCAGGGTGTTGCTATGTAGTTCAGGCTGGCTTTAAAACTGCTATGTAGCCTATACTGGCTTTGAACTCATGACTGCTCCTGCCTCAGCATCCCAGGTGCTGGGATTACAGGGGTCTGTCACCACGGCCAGCATCCTTAGATCTTTTTTTTTTTTTTTTTCTCAGCTCTTTTTCAGTGTTTTAAAATCTTGAAACAGGGTCTCATTAAGTTGCTAAATTGACCACACTGGGTTTGAACCAAAAACTCTCCTGCCTCAGCCTCCCAGAGTACGGCATTTCGAGTGTGAGCTCCCACATCCAGCTCAAACAGAAAACCCTAAAAGCTGTTTTATAACGTTTGTGTTGTGAAGGTGGTACCAGCTGAAATGCATGCAGTGGGGACATTTCGTGGGAATCAACTCTGTCTCCGCTTTAAAATTAAAAGGTCTAAAGTGGGCATGATATGGTGTCTGTTGCATGACTGTAATTCCAGCACTGAGGAAGCTGAAGCAGGAGGATTATCATGAGTTCAAGGCCAGCCTGGGCTACATACTGAGACCCTGTCTCAAGAAAAAGAAAAAAAAAAAAAATTAAAGTCTAAAGTAAACTTTTTTTAGGTATTAGGCATGCAGAAAAATGGTACTTTGCAACAGTGCTGAAAATTCTGCATCAGCCTCAACCAGACGTGAGCTTCGATGTAAAGGGAGACAGTGCTCCCTCTGGGCAGGCTGGGCAGCAGAGCCCTCTGGAAAGACCCTTCTCCTGGAGGAGGGATCCCCTCAACGGGAGGTCACACAGCAGTTTGCTCAGGACCAGAACACTGCAGCCCTGGCCGCGCTCTCCTGGCCCCAAAGCTGGGCGCCTGGGTCAGCAGTGCAGCTGGGCCAGAGCCCGCGGTGCTGGCAGCTGGGAAGCCGCAGTCCTGGGCCCTGTCCTCTGCCACTGGAGCCCCGGGTCAGGAGGCGGCCAGGGCAGTGGGGAAGGCTTGCCAGTTGTTTTGAATTCTTGCAGGTGTTAGAAAAGCAAAGGATTCTTTTCACAGCCGCATCTGCATTTGACACTGACCACTCTGAGGCAGCCTGCGGTGTTTTTGTTTGTGGTTTGACAGATGGACACACAGTGGCCGGCCAAGCCCTCCGGAAATCAGCTGGCCTCCAGCACCAGTCTCCCTCTGCCATCCGGGAATACATGATCCCTGTGCTTTGCTGGCTCTTTTCTTTGGTTTTTCTGATTTTTAACTAAACTAGGTTAAAATAAGTACTTAGATGGGATAATAACATCAGAAGCCAGTTTTCAAGACCACCCAATCTTTAAAAACTTAGAAGTAGAGCAGGAGATTTGTGGCATTTAAATAAATATTAGGATATTTAAAATGTTAATATCTGTGTCGGTGGTAAGAGAACTTGGTAGAAAAATCACAACTTACAAACTTTTTAACATTAAAAAAACTAAAATAAAATTTCTATTTTGAAAACTTTCCTTTTGGTCATCAATAATACTCTTAAGTTTATATATGTGTGGGCTGGGGAGTTAGCTCAGCGGCATAAGCGCCTGCCTTGCAAGCAGGCAGTCGTGAGTTTGATCCCTGGTACTAATAAAAAAGAAAAAAGACAAAAAAAAAGTTTATATATGTGTGCGTATCAGCAGCTATGTTATCACAAGGCCAAGGAATGACATTTTATGGATAAAGTTAAGTCAGAAACCCTTTACGAGTATTCTCCCTAGTGGTAGTGTCTCATGGAATTAAGAAATCAAAGCTCCTGCTTTGAGTATTAACTTGACCATGATGTAACTTTCTGAATTTTGTTATACTTTAATCTCTTCATTTCTTCCTCCTCCTCTCTTCTTATTCTTCCACTTTTGGTTTGCTGAGACAGAGCCTTACTGTGTAGCCCAAGCTGGACTCAAACTTTCTGAGATCCTCCTGCCTCAGCCTCCCAAGTACTGGGCTTACAGGTGTGCACCGCAGCACAGGTTTCTATTTCTTCATAATATTGAATTCCTCACCCCGTCACCCTATCTGAAAACAAAATGACAAAAGAAAACCAAGTGTTAAGCAAGCATAAAATGTTATAAACATATTCTTTTTTTTTTTTGGTCTTTTTCATTTTTATGGGTACCAGGGATCGATATCGGACTGCCTGCTTGCAAGGCAGGCGCTTATGCTGCTGAGCTAAACCCCCAGCCCCTATAAACATATTCTTAAGTCTACTTTTTTTTTTCTCCTGCATGCCAGTTCTTTGGGGTTTTTTTGTTTGTTTTCTTTTGTTTTTGTTTTGAGTCCTGGTTTTTTGAGATAAGAGCTCATTGTTCAGGCTGACTCTGAACTCACTACGTAGCCCAGGCTGGCCTCAAACTCACAGAGATCCTCCTGCCTCAGCCTTCCCAAATGCTGGGATTACAGGTGTACACCACCCTGTGTAGCTGTTTTTGAGACAGAGACTCACCAAACTGTTACATTACCCAGACTAACCTTTAACTCTTCACCCTCCTGTTTCAGCATCCCAGAGTGCTGGGGTTACAGGTTTGTGCCACCACACCTGATCCTAATTCTACCCAGTGCTTGCTGGCCATTCTGGCCCCTCCACCTATGCAGCGAGAAGCTCTTCCCTGTGGACGGAGCATCACAGTGTGCGGCCTCCCCAGTGCCAAAGAGCTCTGTGAAATCCAGTTTCCATGGGGCCCGTGCTGGAGAAAGGGAGAACAAAACAAGAACTGGCCAAAGGGACCTGAAGACAGCACTTTGCTGGGGTTTGGGGAGAGAGCTTTTTTTAAAATTAAGTTTATTGGTCCATTTTAGGTATAATAATGACCATATTTCATCGTAGGGGATTTGTACCTGTACACAACACATCTGGATTCTTTTATTTTTCCTCCTTTGTCTTCCCCTGCATCCCCTGCCCTCCCTCCAGCCCCACCCCTCTTTCTGGGGAGAGATTACAATAAAGCAAAACCACAGTTCAAACTGCCAAGTGGAAAACGAAAGTTGTTTCCACCTCTTATATTAAAGAACGATGCCCTGTACCTGTGAAAACGTCTCTTATTAATCTCACGTACTGTCTTTTAGCATATCTTTCCTGTGACCTCAGCAGGGCCTTGAACTAAAGGTAGATAGATGGTGCTGGACCCACATGGGCTCTACCAGCAGTTGGGTCCCTGGGTCTCATGAATAGAAACTGGGCCTGCTGGTACATACTGTGTATGTACCTTTCAGCATGCTATAGTGCATGGGACACACATGTACCGAAAAGATATCTGTAACCACCAGCGGGTGTGGTGGTGCACACCTGTGATCCCAGCACTTGAGAGGCTGAGGCAGGAGGATCTCTGGGAGTCAGAGGCCAGCCTGAACTACACAGAGACTCTGTCGAAAGGAAGGAAGGAAGGAAGGAAGGAAGGAAGGAAGGAAGGAAGGAAGGAAGGAAGGGAAAAGAAACCTAAACTATGCTGGCTCCCTAGGCCGCTCCTGCTCCGCTGCCCGACCCTCCCTGCCTCGCACAGGGCAGGCCACACAGGACTGCATTCTGGGCTGCTCTCCGCGGCCGCTTCCCCCCAGGTTTACCTTCGCCCGCCGAGCCTGTGTGATGTAAATGCTATTATATAACCTCGCTCCTCTCGCCGCCCTTTGATATGAATCACTGAGAAGGTGATTACATAGCTTCATTTATTTCTCTGAATGCATAGGTTTCATGGTTATTAAAATAATCACAGACTCATCAGCTCTCCCCGGGCTTAGGCAGATCAATACCAACTCCTCGGGGCGCCCAGCTCCCCTGGCCCTCCTCTCCCTGGGCTCTGCGATCCCTGCCCTTCTCCCCGCCCCCCGCGCCCCCCGGGGCTTCCAGGTGGAGTCAAAGCGCTCAGCCGTCACCCGACCGGGGGCGCCGTGCAGGACCGGGAAACGGGTAACAGGACACCAGCTCCCGCTCCGAGGCACTCGTGCAAATCCAGCCCGCGCTGCAGGAGCCTGGACTGCAGCGCCTGCGCCCCGCCGCAGCCCCGAGGCAGCCCCCGCGTGGGCGGGTGGGGGGCGCAGCCCGGGCCACTGTCCCCCCGCCGAGCCCAGCACAGCAGCCCCAGCCCGAGAAACAGACTCAGACAAAAGCCCTGTTACATGGTTGCAAATTCCCCCGCCGCTGTTATTTTGTTTACTTGCTCCGCAGGAGGACTGTTTTATCTTTGCAAAAATTTTAAGCTTCACGGGCTTTTCTGCTCCACAACATCAGTCATTTATAGCACAGTGCCACATAGAGACAGGCTTCTCCCTCAGCTTTCTTAAGGAAGAAGGGGAAAGTCCTGTCTGGTCAGGGCACATTAGGTCAGAGGACAAACCGTGGGGTTTCTTCTTTCTTCTCCAAGGACTTAAGGTTGAAAAACTGTATTTTTCTATTTTATTTTATTTTGAGACAGAGTCTTGGTGTGTAGCAAAGGCTGGCCTTTAACTCACTATGCAGCCCTGGCTGGTTTCACTCGCTGGGATCCTTCTGCCTCAGCTTCTCAAGTGCAGATTTACAGGAGTGTACCATAATGCATGGTGGCACCGTGTATTTTATTGTTTGCTTGAGACAGAGTCTCAGCAGGCTGGCCTTGAACTCACTATGTATCCTAGGCTGACCTCAAAGTCAATGATCTTCCTGCCTCAGCCTCACAAGTGGTTGGATTACAGGCATGTGTCACCATGCCCACCGTACTTTAAAAATGATTTATATTAGCACTTTGTTTTCCAGTACTAAAGCCCTTTTAATTTTTTATTTTGAGTCAGAGTCTCACCAAATCACTAAATTGCCCAGGCTGGCCTCAAACTTGAAACTGTCCTGCCTCAGCCTCCCAGAGTATTGAGAATACAGGTGTGCACTACCATCTGTGTGCATTTGTGTGTTCTAGGTTTTCTTGGCATTCCTTGATTATTTGTCTTAAAAATAACACCAAGGGCCTTGAAGTTAGCTCAGTGGCATGAGTGCCTGCCTGGCAAACACTAGGTCATGAGTTCCATCTCCGGTACCAAAAGAAAAAATAAAAATAAGTAAAAAAATAAAAATTGACATCAGCACTCATCCTCTTGAACTTAAATTTATTTAGATGTGTGAAGGAAACAAAAGACAACATAACTTGTATTTGAGTCAATTTTGGGCCTATACATGCATAAATATTCCCCCAATAAAATACCAGGTCTCCAGTGGGGGAAACGCATGTGCTGAGTTTGAGAGTTTCCTTTCTAGTGAGTTGAAAGAAAGGCTCACAAATGTGGTTATTTTAAGATCCAAATGGGAAAAAATATCTGTGAGGCCAACTCCTCAAGTCCTCCTTCACACAGGTTTCTTAGGGTGTTTGTCAAAGGGCTTCTTGCTTGCCTTGGGGAGAGAGAGACAGAGAGGGAGGGAGCAAGACCTGAGAAAGAAAGCAGCCTGTGACCCTGGGGACCCATCCTGCCACCACTGAGGAGCCACCTGGGGGGCAGCAAGAGCTAGAAAACCTCAGGGGCAGCCTGGAATGAGTGTGTTCAGTTTAACAAACGTTTAAAACATGAAAGCTTCCCACGCCATATGCATGGAGCTCTTGGGTTAGTGATGGACCCCAAAACCAGGTCTCAGGGACCAGCTCTGGTCTCCAGCTGAAGACACTGCAAGCTGGAGTCTGATTTGCAATGAGTGCTTCCCCAGGGACACTGATGGGGCCCGCAGAGCTGGAGGAAGGGCATCCAAGTGGAACCCCAAGAAGCCGAGAGCGAGCTCCTACCCAGGGGCCGCTTCTGCCCCTGCCCCTGCAATCCCGTTCTGCCTTCCCACCTCTTCTCCCAGCGCCTCTGCAAAACACACACACCCTACAGCTGCTTGGGGACGGCAGAGTTTAGCCTTAAAGAAAAGATTTCTAGGGGCTGGGGATTTAGCTCAGCGGCATAAGCACCTGCTTTGCAAGCAGGTGGTCGTGAGTTTGATCCCTGGTACCTATTTAAAAAAAGGTTTTCTGGGTCCTTTCAGGCCGAGACCTTGCTTTTTGCATACTAGGTTCTGAACTGAGGGCTCCAGCATTTTATTTATTTATTTATTTGTCTTTTTCGTTTTTATCGGTACCAGGAATCGAACTCACAGCTGCCTGCTTGCAAGGCAGGCGCTTATGCCGCTGAGCTAAATCCCAGCCCCTCAGCATTTTCTATATGTTTCCTTTGTGATAAGGTGTAAGATGCCCAGGCTGGGCTTGAGTCTGTGATCCTCCTGCCTCAGTTTTGTGGAGTCCTGGCACTCCGGGTGTGGTTACCTCACCTGGCTGAGGCTAAAATTTATGGGAGTGTAAGTTAGCTGACTGTCTAAGGTTTTGTTGTGGAGTTGTCTTATTGGACCTTCAGCGATTTGTTTTGCCTTGGTTAGGTTTTTGGCTTTATGGAGATGAAGTCTCATTATGTTGCTCAGATCAGCCTCAAACTCAAGGCATTTCCCCTGCCTCAACCTCTCTGGTGCTGGGATTATAGGCATGTGCCATCACACCAAGTGTTGTGGACATCATTTTAGTGACTAAGGAATAGAGTCAGAGAGGTCCAGTTACTGCCCACGGTGACCCAGTGTGAGAGCCTGGCCCAAAACTAAGATTTCCTAATTCATGACTTTGACTATTTCTCCAGGCATTAAACTGGCTTCTGCCAGGCTGGTAGGGTGAGACTGGAGGGAATTCCAGCTTCTCTGAGCCCCCCCAAGCTGCTGTGAGGCCTGTCTGGAGCTGCTTACCAGCCAGTCAGGCACTGTCAGGGCTCTGTGGCCTTAGACATGGCTGGGGACCCTGGTCTGTCTGACCACGGTCAGACCATGTGTTCTGCATGGCAACTGGCCTCTGACCCAGCTCAGGAGTTTGTGTTTGTGGTGCTTTTGGCTCTGGGTCCTAGCAGGATTTGTCTTTTACTCACAGGATGTGCAGAGGGCATGCACTGTAGAGCTGGGGGGTATGGGGGCTGCTGGGGGTCACAGAGGCTGTTTTGTTAAAGGGGACAGAGTAGGACGCAGTGTGACCGCCAGGCGCAGGGCAGGCAGCACAGTGGGACGTAGGGCTAGCCCTGTGGAGTCTGTAGTCATCTCACCTCTAGAACTTGGGTCAGGGACACTGTGACCCAGCCAAGATAGATCAGTTCTACTCTGTGCCCATGGGACACTGTAGTCCTGTCTTGGGATGAATGTTTGTTTTCAGAAAACTTAAAAAAAATAAAAACTTTTAGAAGGCTGAGGCAGGAGGAGCTCTGTGAGTTTGAGGCCAGCCTGAGTTATACAGTGAGGACAAGCCCAGCCTGAACTACATGGTGAGAGCCTGTCTTAGAAAACCAAAAAGAAAACCAAAACAAAAAACCATGCTTGCCTGTAATTCCACCACTTGGGAGGCAGAGGCAGGAAGATCACTGCGAGTTCCAGGCCAGCATGGGCTACAATCTGAATTCAAGACGGACATAAACTACATAATAAGGCATCCACCATCTCAAAAAACAAAAAACCAAAATCAAAACAAAACTTTGCCAGGCATGGTGTGCACACCAGCAAACTCGGCACTCAGGAGGCTGAGGCAGGAGGATCACTGAGTTCTAGATCAGCCTGAGCCGTATAGCGAAACCCTGTTTCAAGAAACCAAGAACAACAAAGTGATGTGGGACAGTGAGGAGTGGCAGCCATATTTCACAGCCCACCCTAGATTTCCTGCAATACCATCACTGGGTGTGGGACTGGAAAATCTGATTGTCCCAGAAACTCCTGGGCCACTCCTGGCCATTGAATGTCAGCCCAATCACTTCACTGGGAAGTGGAGCAGGGGTTGGCACACCGCCCTCAAGGCCAAGGCTGAGGCTGGGTGTGAGGAGCGGGCAGCCTGGGCTCGTGCACAGGAGTGCAGGAGCGGCCCCTCTCTCCACACTTTCCCCGAGACAGGGCAAGGGGCTGCTGAGCCCCGCACTCTTCAGGTGGCCAGGAGGCCATGGCTCCCAGCTGCCTTCTAAATTGACCAGGTCCAGCTCAAGCCTGCATCCTGCCCCTGCCACCAACCTCAGCTCGCCT